TAAAATAAGAGTTAGTAGATATATATTTAAAATAGTGAATACAACAGTTCCTACATAGGGTTTTCTATGTAGTAAAAATACTCTGTTACAGGTGTTGCATATTCCAGTCACAAAGGATGGATTATCAATGCTATAGTTTGGTAAAACCAATGTTTTAATGAGTATCAAAGCTGTATCTGAAAGTGTTCTGTCTGCTTTTTGATAGCATATGCAGCAGCATTTATGACGAGCACCAAAGTGTGTGTGTATATATATATATATATATATATATATATATATATATATTATATATATATATATATATATATATATATATATATATATACAGGCCTTGCGATGAATAAGAACTGCGCGACGCATAAGCACGACGTGATTTTTGACGTCATTAAATTCTTTTTATTTGCTTTTCATATTTATCAACATTAACTGCACCAATTTACTTAATTACCGCAAAACTACTTTAAATCGTTTATGTAGAAAGGTTATTATTTAAAAATGTTTTGGAATGTTTTGTTTTTTAAAATGTAAAAACATTTGTTTATTTTCTCGACGTTTGTCACATTTTGTCTATACTAAACGAATAAAAAAACATTATAACTTAAATTTAAAAAAGATTATAAAATATGCTAATATTTGATTTTTTTTTCTTAAATATGTAATTTAAAGTTTTTCAAATAATTATTTTTTCTTTTTAAAAAGTCAGCGAGTAATAAACTGGAAATTTTAATATTGTACGATTAAAAACTGTGCAATAGCTAATATTTTTACAAGCGATTATATATAATATTTATTTATTTATTTTTATTTATTTTCAAAAAGCGGTTGATAAGCACAATCACTCGTATTAATAAAAAACTTAAACGAACGTTTTGAATAATTTTTAATGTTAACAAGAAATTTTATTTCTAGTAAAATAAAATGTTAGAATAAAAATCTTATAGGTATAAAAGAAATATTTCAGCGAAAAAATTGTTCTTAAAAATTATTCTTAAAAATTATTCGAAAAACTATTGACGTTCTATTTTTCAGCAGCTGTTCTTGAGCACGCTTCGTTGAGTTTCGGTAACTTTTAACATAAAAGCGATCGTTATTATTTAAGTAATTTTTTTGAGTTACTTTTTACAAAAACTTTACTTTTTTATTGAATCAAGTAGAATACGTTTTAATATTAATCCTTTTTCATTTTTTTATTTGCCCACACCAATTTTTAAAATGTTTCCTCGAAATTACTCTTAAATACTTTTAATACGTCTAACAGTTAATAAATATTTTTAAATCTATGGAATAATTTTAAAACCTAACAAACCCCCGTAAAATAATTATTTAAGTTTAAAATCTAAAACTAAAAGAAAGTATTTTTGTTCAGTTTTATCGACAACTTTGCTATTGCTGAATAATTTTAATTAAATGTTAGCTTAAAAGATGTAAACTTTTTTAATTTTTGAATTTTTTCTACTTGTAAATAATGAGCATATTTAATTTTTTTAAATTCAAACTTTTATTTCAACTGTGTGCGGTTTTTAAAATACTTTATTAAATGTTAAAATAATCGTAAATTACTTCATTAAAATTCCGCTCAAAAATATCTTTAAATATACTCAAACAAAAATTTTTTGCTCGACGCAAATAGCCCTAGCTACACCCAAAATCGCTCTTGGACGACGTAAAATTCACATCCCCCGACGCTTTATCGCAAGGCCTGTATATATATGTATATATATATATATATATATATATATATATATATATATATATATATATATATATATATATATATATATATATATATATATATATGATATATATATATATATATATATATATATATATATATATATATATATATATATATATATATATATATATATATATATATATATATATATATATATATATATATATATATATATATATATATATATATATATATATATAACGGGTGATGCATAATTAGTGACACAAAAATCAAAGCCTTATATTTTTAAAGAAATAAAAGAAAAAAAATTTTTCATTTTTAAAAAATAATAACACAATATTTATTTTTTAAAAATTATTTTTTGTAAATCGATTGAACGCCTTGATGGGCTATTAATCTCAATTTAGTTTTGATACCCTTCATAAGGGATTGTAAAAATGTCAAATCAATTTTTTTCAGACAGGCTTCGATACGCCGAATCAGTTGTTGTTCACTTTTGGCCTCCCATCCACCCTCATACACATTCTGAGCCAATACTCCCCAAAAGTCTTCGATTGGCCTGGCTTTGGGGACATTAGGAGGGTTCATATCAACCGGCACGAAGTTAATCATTTCATTCATCCACGATATTGCCTCTTTAGCTCTATGGGCACTAGCTAAATCCGGCCAAAATATGTAATTTAAATCATCGTGATACTTATCTATGAATGGCAACAATCGTTCCTCTAAGCATTCTTTGATATAAATTTCGGATTTTATTGTAGCCGAGGTTGACGACCGGAAGAGTGGTTTTGACATTCCACGCTCAGATAATGCAATCCAAACGAGAATTTTTTTCGGAAATTTCTCTTTTCCCACAAAACGAACATTTTCTGGACATTTTTCCTTGTCGCTTGTGTAATAACCGGCGTTTCCAGGCATTTCATCGCCAGCAAAACAAAAGTATTTTTCGTCGTCCAAAATTAAAACGCTTTGTTCTTTGTAGAGGTGATTGACGAGTTTTTGACTTTTTTTTTGTGCCCTTAGACATTGTTCTTCATTGTATTTCCGTGTTTTTTCGCGTTTCCGATATTTTATGTTCATTTTGGCTAATTGTCTACAAATTGTTGCTTGATTTACGTTGAATTTACGTGCGAGCTTTTTTTGACTTACACCTTTTCGATTGTTGGCCAACCTTTTAAGTTTCGCTTTTTTTTCTTGAGTCCACGATGACGGGCGACCAGAATTTTTTTTTATTTTTAAACATTGTCCATCAAGCTGTCGATTGATATATCTATATGCTGTTTTGCGAGCGATTCCTTTTTTAATAAAATGGTTAGCAGCTTCGGCTTTGGTCGCTTTTGAGTTTTTTACAAAAAAAATTTTGACGCTTTTTTAAAGAGCTGCTCTTTCTTGGCTGTTTAACATTTTTTTGGATAATTTTTTTTTTTTAATAAAACTAGAATATTCAATTTACCAAAATAAATTTATATAGTTTAATGAAAAAGATTACATTACGAGCAAAACTAAGTTAACTTTTGTGTCACTAATTACGCATCACCCGTTATATAATAGAATTACAAATATAATTGTTTACTTATTTTAAAAATATTTAATTATTTAGTTTTAAAATGAAAAAAACACTCTTAGTTGATAGGACATGCTTTTCAAATTTTGTGAAATACTTTTTTGTGATCACTATAATAATACCTTGCTAAAAAAACTTAATTTGGGCGTGTGCACTTTTTTAAAACATAAACACTTTTGTGGGGAGGTGTGTTGGACTCAACAAATGTTAGGTTTTAGTTGTGAAGAAATAAAAAATAACTGTTCAGCAAAATTTTTGAAATTTTTGACAGATTTTGAAGTGATGTGGAAGAAAGAAGACCTGAGCCTTAAATAAAAAAGACAAATCTGTATTTTGTTGAAGAATAGTAGCCTATAGCAAAAGGAGAAAGCTATGAAATTAATGTTTTAATACAAACAGTTAGTGCAGTGAAAAGGAAGCTGGATGAAGGATGAAGTTGAAATAGTTAGAAAATGTGGCTGTAAAAGAATCACTACCTCAGACTTGAGAGAAAGACCAAAGTAATGGCCCTCAGAGATAGAGAAGCTCTTGCAAGAAGATATGTATGGAATTAGCAGTTCAGGACATTAATGTAAACCGTAAAATAGTGAACAATTGCTTGTTAGAGCAGAAACTAAAGGCATACAGACCAAGGAAAAAGCCAAGATTCACAAACAAAATGATGCATATCAGGCATGGGCCGTTGAACATAAAATTTGGACTCAAGAAGATTGGTCCAAGTTAATCATTAACTTAGCTTTCTGTTAGATCTCTGATAGTATTGATTTTTTGATTTCTTTTAGTTTCACTATACTTTTTGACTAATATCAGTAGGTGTAACTTGTTGATCATGACTAATAATGTAATGTTTGTACAATAATTTCTTTGAAAATTATAAGGCATTTTTTTTGTTCAGTTGGTATTCTCAGATGAATCAACAATTGCTGTGTTGGATTATAGAGTCCAGACAGTCAGAAGAAGGCCTGGAGAGGAGTTTAAGCCTGTGTGTCTTAAGAAAAGAATAAAGTTGCCCACTAAGATCATTGTATGTAGAGTGATATCCACCTATGGAACAAGCCGTCTACATATTGTGGAAGGAATGATGAACCAGAGAGAGAATGCTTCACGCTTCACTTTATATATATATATATATATATATATATATATATATATATATATATATATATATATATATATATATATATATATATATATATATACACTTACTAAAGCGTGTTTTGATAAGCATTTGCTCACTTTTTCTGCTTACCTTAAGCTATACCGTTTTTTTCGAAAAAGAAGAAAAAACGAAGAATGATGAATAAAATGATTGCTTCCCCATCCTAAACCCTCAGTCGATGTAGCAGCACTTCACTGCGAGTCAGGCTATTTGTCAGTCGATGTATGTACTGAAGCCCCCAGCAGCAGGCTATTTCAGTATGACGTCAGATTGCTTACCTTAGTACGCAATACTATTTGCATATATATATGCGTGTGTGTATATATATATATATATATATATATATACATATATATATATATATATATATATATATATATATATATATATATATATATATATATATATATATATATAACTTGTATATGTGTGTGTGTGTATATATATATATATATATATATATATATATATATATATATATATATATATATATATATATATATATATATATGTATGCATGTATGTACTTATATGTATATGCATGTATATAAAACATATATTTTGTTAACAATACTTACTGATTAGAAAAAATTTTGAAAAAAACTGTACAAATGCAGTTAAGTAGTTGTTACTAAATTCAGTATGGTTTGCAATGGATTTGAATATTGAGAACAATGTTGATGGTTTGTTAGCAAAGTATTGTAAAAATATAACAAGGGTTTTAGAATGCTCTATTAAATCCATAAGAAACTCTAACCAGCCAATTAATATTCCTTCATCTAAAATTCTTTCCCTAAAAATATTTACACAATTTATTTGTATTAGTCAAAATAAGTAATAAATATGAAATGTAAACAAATAAAAAAGTTTAACCTTGACAACTCTTTCATATACCATTTGTCAATTATCTCTAGAATACGAATAAAAGCAGACTTTTCCAACTGGTCTTGGTCAGTCTCACCCAGACAGAGGTTTAATATTTTTTCTGAATGGTGAGATATATTTTTAAGAAATGAATCACACCAAAAACCAGAATACAAAGAAATACCAAGATGCTTCAAGGTTTGAAATTCTTCATTCATTGAGGTGTTCATCCAATGAAGGACTTTGTTACAAACATTTGAAAGACTGTAAATGAGATTTTTTAAAGAAAATCCATTGGCCAACTCGCTTTTAGACTCTAAAAATTTTATGCTTAAAAATTAATAAATGAACTAAAAATAAATTGAAAATATTTTATTTATATATTTACATATATAAACTATACTATTTATACATTAAATATTTACATATGTTATATGTTCATATATTCTTTAAAAATTAATAAACTAATAGATAAAATCTATTTTGACTTTTTTACTTTTATACTAAAATTATATTTTAACATATCAGATGTTTGTAACCATAATTATAAAGGCTATAGATACTATAGTTATGAATACTATAGATACTGAAGCTTTATAACAAGACTCATTTGTACATAAGTTATGCGATAATTTTTTTTTTTGGCTTTCTCTATTCTATTATATTCTATTTTATCATTTTCATATTTTAGAACAAGGAAGCATGTTCTAAGTTTATCTTATTATTAAACAAACTTTTGTATTTTGCTATCTCTATACACTTCACAATTATAACTTTTCCAGCATAAAACTTTTTTTTCTGGTATATAATTATCTTTATGTTAACTTAACCATTATACTTTCAAATAATATATTTTACTATTATATATATATATATATATATATATATATATATATATATATATATATATATATATATATATATATATATATATATATATATATATATATATATATATATATATAATTAAATATTTCCATCCCTTAAAATATATTCTATTAGAATCTATCTAATATAAAAGGAAAAGCCCTCACTCACTGATTTACTCAATCATCACCAATTCTCCAACTGCCGTGTAGCTAGAAAACTGAAATTTTTACCAGGGGTAGCATATGATGTGCTTAGACAAAGTAAAAAGTTTAAATTTGAAAATTCGGCCTAGGGGCGGAAATATTAGGGGCAGTTGGTTTTTATAAGGAGCCCGTATACGAGTATAGAGATGAAAGTTTCTATATATGCACATGTACAAACAATGAATTTTTGTGGCTAAAATGGTGTCTAATTTGGTATCAAGGCAATCTTTCGATTGCCTTGATACCAAATTAGTTAGAGAGCGTCTGAGTGCTTTGCAAACATATGTAACGTAACAACATTATACACTTTCACAAAAGAAAAGATTTTAAGAAAGCTAATATTTTGTAAAACATCAACAACAAAAAAACATCACCAGAAGTAAAATTTTTTTGTGTGTATGATGCTTGAGACACTTATGTTATTAATGTGCTTAGGTAATTAGTCCTATTAAGCCACGGATGGTCTGAAAAATAAGTTATCTGAAACTTAATAAAGAAAAAACTATATTAAATAAATAAGAAAGTCCTGCTACTCAAGAAGGTGCTGCTGTGGAGGCAAAAAAAAAAAAATAGCCTGTAGCTAGAAAAAAATTTTAAACTTTCTTTTGACAATGAAAAACTTTTTTTACAACATTAATTTTTTTACTATAAATATATGCTGCAGCTATTTTTCAAAATGCCTTAATATGCTTATTATGTATTTCGAGAAAAAAGCAATTAAAAAAAAATTATTAAAAATTAACTCTTTGTTAAACGTTTTTTGGAACGTTTAATTTTAATGAATTTTTTCAGAACTATTTGAAAATATATATTCAATAACATTTGTAGACATAAATTAGCTTATTTTGTAAAAAAGTCAAAAATGATATTTTTAACCTTAAGGCATTTTGAAAAACGGCTGCAGTATGGATGATACAACGAATATGTTAAAATGAGATAATTTGATGCAAAATTTAATAGCTCTTAACAAAATCCACTAAGCCAAAAAAATTAAAAATAATTGCTTTGAAATTTTATTATAGTAAAAAATTTTGATTTTAGTGAATACTAGCTGTATCACATGAGCAGCACGAGTATACAGCTTGTAGCATAATAAATGCCACTTAACTATTCTTAATTAGTGTATGTTTTAGTGCTTTTATAAACATTTTAATATATTTTACTGTTTTTAACTTTTTTTTTTTTTTTTTTTTTTTGATTTCCTATATAATTCTAATTGACAAATCTTGAAAGTTATTTATTAATTTGTGAAAATCAAATAAATAAAAAAAAAAAGAATGAAAATAAAAGTAAAAAAAGAAACCTTTCTGAATATTCAGATGAGTGATTAACGAATAGCGCACCAAAGATGTAACAGAAAAATCTTTGTTCTCTTGCAAGTCATCTCTTTGAACATTTAACCCTTGCCAATCTTGTATATATTGACAGAACCTTTCTGGTAAAACTAATAAATTAAAAAATTCACATTTTAAAAATGAATTTCTTTCTGAAAAGACATTTTCTTTCTAAATACATAGAGCAAAAATAGTTCACTAAATAATTAAAAAAAAAGTAAAACTAACCTTGAATTCTTTTGAGATCAGATGCTTTAGAATTTACTGTAGGTAAGTCTAATCCAATAATATCAATATAGAACTCTAAAACTTCATTATCTAATGTAGTATATTTGTCAGCTGTTGCCAACTTAATTATCATTTCTCTATTAATAAAAACATAAATACTGGCTTTACTAATATTGCATATATATATATATATATATATATATATATATATATATATATATATATATATATATATATATATATATATATATATAAAGGATATGTCTACATTGGGAAAGTTATGTTTTATTATAAAATAAAGAATTATAGCACAAAATATTATACCATAAATGAAGCTGAGCCATAAATTAAAAGTAAATACCTAATTTAAAATTTATTTAGACTTATTTTTTTGTTAAAAATTTTAAAATTCTATTAAGCCCTTCTAACAATTTAAAGTTATAAGAGATGTGAAGTAGAAGCCTGCATTTTTAGGATTAGTTAAAACACCATGGGTAAGAAGAATAAAAAAATAAAGAATGCACTTTTAAGTTTAAAACACCATGGGTAAAAACAGGAGTTCAAGTTATGTCATATAAGAATCAATTTTCACAATGTTCCGTTTGTATAACATATGACATTATATAATAAATGATCATTCAATTTACAGGATCAATGCTTTTTGTTATAGTCATTAACAACCTATCAATTCATATCAAATATTCATATCAGGTATTTGCAAAATGTACACAGATGACACAAAGTTCACTAAAGTTGTCAAAAACGATGATGGCAAAGCAAATTTACAAAAATTCCGCAGAAATGTTTTATTGGATGTTTTTGCATTTAGTTTAGGCTTATTCTGTTATTTTATAAAATATAATATAATCGGTATTTTATAAAATATGTATAACCAGTGATATATCCAGAGGTTTTGGACCATTTTATAAAAAAAATATTCATAAATCTGCAGAAAAATATACTATTGATGAAAATGAATTTTCTGCTTTATGAAGTTAAGGATGGTATGAAGACTTTATTTTTTTACACAGGTGCCTCATTCAATAATTATAAACTTACCCTAACTTGTTGACGAAGGAGTAATATAGGTTATAGTTAAATATAGGTTTAGCCTACATTTGATATACACCCTTCATCTTCAAGAATGCAAAGAACTTTAATATAGAGTTGATATAACCAAATGCTAAGCGAGCAATTCAATTGCATTAAGGATGGTTAAAAAAACTGCAGAATAGACTTCATAAATTGCTAAATCCAATATAAGGACACTGCAATCTATAGTTTATGTATAATTTATTTTGAAAATAAGACTTTGTTTAATATGAATCAGAGAAAAAAGAATACTCAAAAAATATGACCTTATTTAAAAATTATACGGATTTTGTTTTGATACAATTCGATTCTAACAAAGATTTATTTATTAGGACTGAAAGATAAATATTAGCTTTCTAATTGCCTTTTACTACTAGCCAATCATATCACTTACTATTAGCCAATTATATCACTTACTACTAGCCAATCATATCATTTACTACTAGCCAATCATATCACTAAGCTTAGAAGCAGTGACAAAAAAGAAAACCAGATAACCCTAATCATCCTGATAATCCTTGATATTGGTTGATAATCCCAATAACTAATTCCAATAATAACTAAATCCAATAAATAATTGGTTAATTCTCAGGCCTAAAATAACTATGCAGGTTTTTAGACATAAATCTTTTTTCTTTCTATATTTTTTTTAAATACAGTACTAATGTGATTAATAAAATAAAGATAAATTTTTTAATTGATAGCTTTGGATGATCAGAAAATGAGAGAATTTCACTTTAATATTGGCAGTTTAGTTTTAGCAAAAAAAAAGAACAGTCTAAAGTTTACAGGAATATTTTAAAAGCAGAAGCAAAAAAATTCCATGCACATCAAAAATCAATTTTGACTTTTATATCACCAAAAAAAAAATTGTTATATATTCAGTGCAACTAAAATTTAAAAACTGTTTACCTAATGTATAAATATAAAAATATTAATAAAATATTTTAAACATCTAAATTAATATTTACTTTGCTTTCCTGACTGCCAAATTTAATAGCAGCATCATCTGTTCAATAAAATTTCTAAATTCTTTGGCATATTTGAGTAACTCAACCTTTTTATGCATCATATATTGGTCAACAAGAAACCCTGCAAAATTAACAATGCTATCACTAATAGCATATGGTGAGAACTTGAGCAGGTGAGTAGAGTTTAGCAAGTTTGATAGTAATGATATTATTCTTCCAAAGTAATCAATTGAAGATGAAATATCATCAGCAAAAAGTTTTCTTTCTGATACTATTGTGTCAAAAGATGATTGAACCTATAAAGGTCAAAAATATTAAACATATAAGATTAAAAATAAAAACAACATCGAGTTCATACAATTGAAATAAAAATCAATGAGGCAAAAAGTGAATATAAGAAAATAAAATTAAACTTTATGACAGTTCAAACGCATTATTATTAGTTATAAATATATTTTTTAAAAGGTCTGAAAAATTAAATCATAATCAAAAACAGAAGTTTGAGATATTTTATGCGGCAATTTTCATTAAACTGAATGTGCTTTTTTGATTTTATATTATATAAAGATTTTATATTATATTAAGATCCTGCAAGGGAAAAGTTTTGACTTTTTTTGTTTTGTTTATTATGAAAGTTTGCGATATGTAATTTATGGACGATCCGTAAGTCTTTTAGTTATTGTTTTTCATTTTTTTGAGGTGATCACATCGACTAAAATCTTTTTTAACTTATCTACTATTAACTCACTTACTTTTTTAAAAACTACCTCTGAAATATGATAAGTTAAATATAAAAAATGTTTTGTATGATTTTAAAAAACTGGTATTACATATTATTGAACAAGGAAAATAGATTTCTTTACTTTACTGCTTGCTTGTATTTAAAACGTAAATACATCTATTAAAACATAAATAAAATACGTTTGATAACAAGAATATTTTTTTTTTATTACAAAAAACTGGTACTAGAAATTTAAATAGCAGAAAACAAGATTCACTGCTTGCTTGAATTTAAAATGTGAAACTTTGAATTAACATAGTCATAACATTTTGTAACTATGAATGAATAGTAACTAAAAATAACTAATGGTATTCTTCATTGCCACGCGTGCAATCCGCTTGCAATCAATATTCTTCTATAATTAAACATTTATTGGTGTTTTTGCTGAGACTGTAATTATAACTTTACTTCGCTATGCAATTTATGTATACAAAATTATTATTAATTATAAAATTGAACTCGCAATAATGTGAAATATAAAATTTACGAGCTTGTGTTTACATTTTTTAAAAGCTTATCTATTTTTAAAACATTTCTTTTGATGACACAATTTATTACATGATGATGTAAGGGTTCATCCATAAAGGACGTCAAACAGAATTTAAATAATTAGAAGTAGAAGATCATTGGCTCTCCTCCGCAGAGATTTTCATTGAACATAAACTGCTATATTACCATATTACACTGAAAAATATATACATATTCAAAAGAATACTCTTGAAGTAAAAGCGGCATTCATATATTAAGATTAAAAATAAATCAACTATATTATTTTTAATAGTAATAAATATACACTGATTATTTTAAAATATTGAAATACATAATTTCTAATATATATTTCAAAATCAGAGCTTAATTTGCCGTGTCGTTATGAAACCACGTTTAATTTTGTATTGATTTCATATTCATCTTGAATGTTACAAGCGGTATATTATTTTATTTTTGGCGCTGTCCAATCAATGTATGCAGCGTTGAAGTGGAGTAGAAAAAAATATATTTTAACATATAACATATTTTAATCTTAGCGGAGGGGGAGGGGTGGGGGATTGGGGAATATTTTGACAAATTAGTTATATTTTATATATTTTAACATATTCAATTTTAGCGAAGGGGGAGGAGGAGGAGGATTTTATATATTTTGACAAACTCCTAACTTTGTTGAACGCTGTTTCAAATTTATTTCTAGTTAACACCCTGGGAGGGTGTATAGTTCAGCAACCAAACAATACCAGATAAAACTCCCTAATTGACTGTATAGAAACATACATAAAAAGCTACCCAATTTATTTTAATTTATGTAAGTAACCATGATACATGAAGATCAGAAAAAGTATTGAAAATAGTAGGTAATTGTGTAATGGTAGAGTGCTCAACTTATTAGAGAGAAGTTTCGAGTTCGATCCTCACCACGTTCCTGGTAGTATCACGCTCAAATTGTTTCTCTGCATAGCAACCTTGTTCAATAAAGTTTGTGTTTCCAAGTTATAGAGTTGAAAGAAGGTTGCAACCGCAATTAAAAGTTTCTCGACTCTAGTGGCCTTGGGGAGGTGAATTGAAATAAGTAAATAAAAAAATTGATTCTTAATTAAATTAATTAAACAATTTTTTAAATTTACTTTAAAGCTGAATTAATTAGTTAAATTACATTTAAATAAAAATAGATAATGTAAACAGAGGAACAGGTGTAATAGAGGAACAGATATTGTATTTAAAAACATTTAAAAGAAATCTTTGTAAAATACCATTAGGTTGCTCTTGATTTGCTCAGCAGTCATCTCAAAGGTTGATGGCATCCAACAAATATAAAATAAATATTCTTCAAAAGATGATTTTTCCTGAATATTTAAATAAAAATTTAGTAAAATAATTAAATTATCTATTAAATATTATCAATTTATTAATAATCAAAACAAAACAACTTTAAAATGCAAAAAAATTACAGCATCCAAGTTAAATATATTGTTAATCCATTCAATAGCTATAGGAAGTTCTGGAAGCCAATTCCAAATGTATAAAGATGCATTTCGAGCCCCAAGCCTATCAAGCAACTCTCCACCTGCAAACTTATTTATCATTTGTGCTAGAAGAGTTAGAATAGAAGAATACCACTGACTATAATCTGGAGTATTTTTCAGAAAAGTAAGAACCTATAAATAAGTTATTTGTAAAGAATCACAAAACTTTCCTAAAAAACTTCTAATGCAAAAATAAGTAATAAAAAAAAACAAAAAACTCAACAACAATAAAAAAAAACAGCATCATTGAGATATAATTATCAAAATCATCTGACCATGATATTATTAGATCATAATTAGGCAAATCATCAGGGCCTGAAATAAGCGCTGGACATCGGAGATTGTCCACTATTTGTCCAATAAAAAACCACATCTATCGGTCATTTTGTCTGACATATTTTATGTGCATTTAACTTCTAATCATTTAGTTGTTCCAGAATTATTAATAAATTCAGTATTGTATATAAATTTTATTTTGTGAACTTTTAATTCTATACGAAAAAAACTTTTTATTTTTAATTTTATACAAAACAAATTTGAAGTTGGCTACATTACACAAGGCTACGTTAATAAAACATGTCATTTTTTTGAGTTAATTCATTTTTTAAAAGACGCCAAAGCATTACATTTTATCAAATTAAGTTGCCCAGTTTTTATCATTCATATTAAAATGTTGCAATTAATTATTAATTTAAATTTACAGTTAAATATATTTTTTTGTCCAATGGTTTTTATAAATTTCAAAATATTTTAGTTTTCAAAATCCCTTTTAAATTTGTTTTATAAAAATTTTAACGCCATAGTTATTTTAATGCTTATAGAAACCAGTACTCAAATTTAATTACACAATTAAATTTGAGTTGTTACATAACATTTGTTTTTGTGCTAAAAGTTTTTGCTATTAAAAGTGTTAATAAAATTAATTGTAGAAAAAGTTATTTCAGGCCCTGCAGATCATAATAATATTAAAAACTTTATCATAGTTCTTGTCATTAGATCATAACAGGAAAAATCAGAAAAAGTGAACAGTAAGTAAATGCAAACCTCGGTGTCTATTTTATCCTGCTCAATAAGTCCATAAAATACTATTGTATCACTTTTTAGCTCATCTTCTTCTTTAAAGAAACTTTTCACATAAGATGGTTTATCTATATCTGCTGAAAGAATGTTGTGTTGTACCTAAAAGGTTTTTTTACAGATTTATTAAAGTTACAACAACAATTAGAGTTGTCAATTAAACATCAATTAAAGTTACAATACCAATTACAATTATTGTAAATTAAACATCAAATTAAGTTGCAACATTAATTACAACATCAACAACAAAAAAAAAAGGAAGAAAATATATATAAATACTTGTGCAATGAGATCCGTGCTTTTTGTAGAATATCCTAAATGTATCATATAATCAAATAAGAGAATAAGATGCGCTACATGTATTGCATTTTTTATATTTAATGTAGACAAACGACCAAGCGCTTGTATGATCTCACTAAAAATGATCTCTTTTTTGTCTTTAGAAAGAAGTTGAAGCACCATGATCATAGCTTGAGCATGCTGTACATTTAGGTCTAGAAGGTGCAAAGAAAATGAAATAACCATAAAAACCATAAAGGAACTAATAATAATATTTTTCAATAATTTAAATATTTTAAACTGAATGTTGTTGTAGATGATGATGACAGCATGATGACCACAACGATGATGATGGTGATGATGATAACGATGATGATGGTGATGATGATAACAATGATGATGATGATGATGATGATGATGATGATGATGATGATGATGATGATGATGATGATGATGATGATGATGATGATGATGATGATGATGATGATGACGATGATGATGATGATGACCTAAGTTGACGTTTAATGGCTCAATTTTGCTTTAATTTTACTATGTTCTGAAACAAAATTACCATAGTGGACTTTTTTTTTGCAGATATAGCAAAATAAATATAGGAAAAAAAAACTTTTTTTTGCACAGAATCAATAGAATACATTCAAACAGTAACCAAAGTTGCAAGGTCACAAACTGTAGAGACAAACTTTAAATTAAAGTTTAAAATGATTTTAAAATAAATACCCAACTTTTTCACCTACACAGCTATTCAAGGCATTGATCAAAAAATGGTAATAAGGCAGTTTATTTTATAAATCTATAGCAAAAACCTTGCAGACATCTGCAGAGTAGTTTTTTAAGACAGCAGAG